TCAGTATTCGAGCATATCATAACTGATAAGCCCTTAAATAAGAAACCATTCAGCTAAAAACTGAAATTTAGCCAAGAGCTCTTGATGTTATGTTTTCAGTGGAACACAAAAGAAGAGTCATGTGTGTTCGCTTTCTCTAATTTTAACCCTAAGCTAGAGTGTAAACGGGTTATTTAGTACTTCAAGCGCCTGCGCGTGCACTGTCAGAGGACGCGCAATCTCCGTCATCAGGACAACCACAGCGCGTGCGCAGATGTCGAGGCAGATAAGTCCACAGTCTATGGTCCATCTTCGTCATTATTGCGAATTAAATTATTAAGTCAAAATTATTAAATGCATGAAAAAATATTGATGTATTTTGGGGGATACATAAAATTCGCATTAGTAAGAAGTGTGTTGGCTATTTTATGCCAACATGTGAAGTCTAGCTCATGTTGGTGTTAATGTCTGCTCAAGATAACAAAATCGTCTCTTTCTGTGAAATTGGCGTAAAATATTCGTAATAAAATTAAAACTAATTAAAAAAAAATTACAGTCTATGAATAAAACACAAGTTTCTGCGTTTGAGCCCAGACCATCTGAGATGCTGCGATGGCATTTGTCCACAGGAGGAGTTCAATGAAGTGTGTGAAGTCTTTGCATAAAGGTCTCTCAGTTTCATGTGTCTCACGTCACGGGGAATGATGAACACACTCCGCTCGAGGGGAACTGGGAGATCACACATCACTGATAATGTGTGTGTGAGTGTGTGTGTCGCAGGGCCGTCACCAGAACAAACCAAATGGGAGGGCATTTAATTTTCATAGGAGGGCACACTTTTTTTAATGATCTGAGACAGACCAAAACAACAACCCATATTAGGCTTCAACTAAAATAGACCACAATAGTCTTGTTTTATTCATTTTATTTAAATAAAATACTTCACTGTATGATCTCAACGTCTCTGTTTATTTTCTCTTAACATTTCCACATATAGCTTGCTAGCCTAGTAGCCTATATTTTTTGTTAATCTGCATAGTTCGTCACATAGACAAGACAGTGCCATCTAGTGGCTTTCTTGAGTAAAAGGCGCAATCAACGTAATGTCATTAGTCCAAAGTCCAAACTAAGTAAAACTACGCCAAAACCAATTTGATTTATGACTCTCTACACTTCATAAAAATGAGTCACAAAAGCACCTGGTTTCCACCAACAATACAGCAATAATAAAAGCAATGCATAACATACTGCAATACAAATTTAGCAATGTAGCAGACAAATTCTCCATTCCTACCTTTCTTATAATGTCTGTTCCTACCATCTAATTAGCTCCAGAGCCGTCTCCACGCACGTTGTTGTTGGTCAAAGTCGTCTTTGTCAACGACGAAACTTTAAACCACTTAGCATAAGCTTTGCTGTAGGCCTACAAAACCACCAGAATTTGATTCTCGCATCGCATGCACTGCACAGCTGCGCAAAGGAATTACGTATAAACAATACTGTATGCTTAACTAAATAAATTGCATTGTTTATATTATTTATTTATCCTTAAACACAAACTGCATATTGTAATTTGAAGAAATAAAAATACTAACACAAAAATAACAAATTGAAAGGTCTGCTGCTGGAGACTTGCCATTGGCTGTTGAATGTGAATAATTAATGAGGTAGGTCTTTGCAAGGTTTGGGTGCTGTTTTGGGATGTTTCACAGTCATTTATGAAAATAATTATATTTCAAGTTACGTTCTGTGTAATAATGCGTTGAATAATGAATTTCTAAAGCATTTCTGAAGATAATGTATTATACATTCCTACCGTTGTAGAGCTGAGATAAGTTATGCAGAAAGACCGAGCTCTTTTCGAAAATCATTACTAGTATATTAACATCTATTGTCAAGCTCATGCAAGGGTGGGCACAGTGAGTCGTTTGGGGGGGCACTGCCCCCCAATGCCCCCCCTTGGCGACGGGCCTGGTGTGTCGCTGGATGTCATGGTTTGACCAGAGATGATCTTCGGCTTTGAGCTGGTCTGGAGTCGGTCAGTGAGGGGAAAGTGTTCAGTTAAGGCACGCTTACACGACACTGATGTACTAAAAATGTGTTTACTTCTACGTTATCAAAATTATTCCGACACGGATCCTCGAAAACGACTGTAAAAGCTGTGTTCTGCTGTCGGACAAGTGTGTGTGTGTGTGTGTGTGGTGCCTCTGTAACGGAGGCCAGCTAGTAGTTGCTGTGCGAGTAAACCTCACTCCCCTGATCTCAATAGGCGCTCTAGCGACAGACGCTAGAGGCTGCAGTCTTTAGCCTCCTTGTTAGCACGCCCAACTCTCAGGCCAGTATTAGTGTGTGTGTAGTTTATGGAGACGATAACGTTATCAAACCTTTGCACTCTGAATCCCGTTTTCAAAAGTTCGAGTCTTCAGTCCCCAATGCTGTTGTCGTACAAATGAACGGCCAAAGCGCATACATTTTTCCGTTCCAGTTGTAAAGGGGGTCGTGACATTAAACGGCCCCATGTAGAGCAGTGGCTAGAAGAAATGAGAAAGCGGCTTTGGCGTGAGCTAGCCATCAGAACACGCGTCTGAAGAAATGATGAAACGCACAGTAAACAGTTTCTTATTTACTTAAACATCATTCTCATATATGAAGACATCCTTTCCCAGACAACAAATTAGATCGTGCCGACGTTGGGGCGCGCGTGGCTGCCCGACATAAAGTGCCTCGGTAAGATGTCTTATGGAGATCGGTAGCTAATCGGCAAGACATTGGGAAGACGGTGGTTTTAGAACGATCGCCGACCGCGAGCCAACGTATACCCGACATGATCGCCGACCGTGAGCCAACGTATACCCGATATAATTATTATGACCTATTCAGCGCGATCCCACTAGAGCAGGGAAAACATTCAGATGCCTGCCTCGCTCCCTTTGACTTAATACTGGAACAGCTGATTTTCGTCTGCATCGCTGGAAAGGGCACAGCATGCTTGAAAATCGGCTGTTCCGGTGTTAAGTCAAAGGTAACGAGGCTTCTGAATGTTTTTCGCCGCTCTAGTAGGATCCCACCGTTATGTCTAATTATTGATTTGTTTAGGCTAACTGCTGTCAGATTGTTCCAAGGACACAGGTTGCCTATTGTCTATCAACAATCAATAACAATATGATTTGTTAATCGTAACATTTCTTCCCTAACAATTTTGACAATTGCAATTAAATTAAAATGAAATTGAAGTGAAAGTTAAATTGAAAGTTAGTGATTGTTTGTGTAGGGTGTAGCCTATTTCAAACACAGTCTGACTACCTGGGAAATGTCAGTCTAACATAAAAAATGAATGATGGTCATGCAAATTAAGCTAGGAGTTTTCCAGGATAAATAATAAAAATGAGAGCACCGGAAGATGACCTTGAACATTTATTTTTTACTTTTGTTTTTGCAAAAGCAGTATCATTTATTTTAACACTCATCAAATCACACATAGAAAAGTACAACAACAACAAAAAGAAATTCCCTCCAAAATAGGTAAACAGGAAAAATCAGTCCAATCAATTATTTCACTTTAAGATGCTCGCCCTCTTGCTTCCTGTCCCTCCTCAGCCGCAGCCAGTTTCTCGCAGTCATCTCTACATCTGCCTCAGTGGAATTTTGTTGGGTAGGATTTCTTAACACAGCACCTAAACGAAACAAAATAAAAAATAAATAAAGAAAATTTATACTTTTACTAATTTAGTCTGATGTTCTGAGTAAGAAGTGCAGTAGCATACATTACATATAAAATATCGTACCATTGTTAGTCCTCTGAAGGATCCCTGGAAAAGGCTGCAAAGCACACAGGCCGTCATTATTATCCGGCGGCGTCACTAGAAAATAGAGAAAACCCAAATTATTGGAGTGAACAGTAAGTCAAGTTTATCACAATTATATAAACTAATGTCAGTGAGCTGAGTAATTGCCACACATTTCTATCAGCAGCAACTCATCTTAACCCATGTCAAAATAACAGAGCTAACCCAGTGTCACTCCACATCAGTGGTTCTCAAACTTTTTCTGTCATTCCCCACTTTGCATAGAACTGTGCTGTGCTCTATATGTGTTTGTGTGTGTGTTTGCGAGTGTGTGTCAGTGTGTTCTTTGTCTGCGTCTTAAATAGCTTACAGTCAGGAAAGCCTTCAGGCCCCGTCCACACTACTGCGTTTTCGTTTAAAAACGGAGAATTAAAACGAATACGATCTCTGTCCACACCAGCGTTTTATCTGCGTATTAGAAACGATCTCCGTCCACATTAAAACGACTGAAAACGCAGATTACGTGACCATTCACCAACACTGGGCATGCGCGTGCCGGTGTAAACAGTGGTTGGCGAATCAGGGAAGGATGCGTCATGACTGATAACACCCAATCATAGAGCCGAGCGTGAGCCTCTGCGTCAGCGTTTCTAAAGTTCTCCGTTTTGTATGGTTTTGTCTTGTCCACACTAAAACGCACTCCGGAGATTCAAAACGCAAAACGCAGCTGCAGCGTTTCTAAACTTCTCCGTTTTAGGTCTTCGTTTTTCCCGTTTTAGTGTGGACGGGAGGTGCAAACGTAGCAAAAGGTCTCCGTTTTTAAACGAAAACGCAGTAGTGTGGACGGGGCCTCAGTCTATGGAAGCACATGGGTAGCAATATTCAATTTGAATGAAAATTAATTTCATGATTTAATTTGATTAATTTCATCGCAAGTGTCTTGACTGTGAGTGTAAACGCAATTAAGAAAAGTAACATTTGAATGATCATTAAATTTGCCACAGTTTTTGCTTGAACATGTTACACATATCTAATCATTTCTGTAATGCATTTTCATTTTAATTTTGACACTTATAAAGCATTTCAATATGCATATTAAAACTAGTGTATGAAATGGCAAATGTAAATTATGTAATTTCATTTTCATTTTGCAACAAACGTTGCTAATGCAATGCCATTTTACATATTGCATTGTCATTTTGCATATTACATTTCAAATTGAATATTGCTACCCATGTGCTTCCATATCAGTCCTCCAGTCCTCCTTCTTGAATATTAACTGCGGCCTCTTGGAAAGACAGAAAACCTTGGCTAACTTATCACACTACCAATATAAACTCCAAAATCATATCTGGAACACCAAACTATGGTATGCGCTGTGGACCTGTGCAGTACACTGTGTCTACTTGAGTTTAGGGACCTGATGCAGTTTACTACAGAGGGGACACTTACCTTTACTATACGATGATGTGGGATGGGCTGGAGGAGATTTGTCGTGCGTTTTCTTCTTCTTTGCCTGTGTTGTTTGTGGTGCATTTACTGTAGGGTGTCTGATGAAGGGCACGATTTAGGGTGTCTGATGCAGGGGATGGTGGTGGTGATGGTGATCTAAGTTGCAATGGTCTGTAAATGAAACGTTTTTACAAAGATTAGTTATCATATTGCTCACATCGAACAGAGAGAAATATGACATGGGTGACATACTCTGTGTGATACAAAGAGGATGATCAAAAAGTCAAAAAACATATGAAGCTCACTGAAATTGGAAAACATTTTAAATATACAAAATAAATGAACAAAACAACCAAAAAACAATAAAAGCAATGTCCCGGTTAACAGAAAATGCACTTGAATAAATAGCCAAAATACAAATAAAATGGTTGTAAACAAAACCCGACCATACCCTAAATTATTTGTTATTAAAACATTAACACACAAACCACTGTTAATTTAACATAAAGCAAGCAGCTACTGTGTGCATTGTCTGGCATGACTGAATGGGCTCCCTTAATAATTCCAAAAAAGCTGACAGTTCATCATGATCTCACACATCTCTGTTATTACCAATGAAGCTGACTGCACAATGAATCTCATATAATATCTAGGCTACACTTTGTTTGTTATAATTAGAGGATTTGCCAGCATACAGAATTCATCACTGAATAAAAAAAGTCTGTTTTGAGCAGTGAGGGAAGTATATCTTAAATGCTTCTGATTGGCGTTCAAGAAATCAACATGTGATTGGCTACATCGCTCAATAATGCAAACATGTTATAAATAGAAACTCTAGCCTGTAAATCGTTACTAGTTTGTTTTAGTTGTTCTTGCAGATGACTAAAAATCTATTAGTTTTTATATGTTTTATAAATAAATATTTCTAGTTTGCGGGAGTACCGCAAATCGGTTTATTCTCCCGCAACCCGCACACACAGAGTGAGTGCATTACCGCTTGCACTCGGCCATCGAATCTAGTGCAGCGCCGCACTCTATTGCGTTGGGAGTGCACGTCTCTAGATCTAAGGCCCGACCCGAGGATAGTGTCAGCCCAGGTCGGGTCAAGTCCTTGCTCGGACAGAGAATCTAAGCTCTAGTTCACGCTAAGGAACCGAGAGTTTGTCATCCAGTCTCTTTGGTATAGAGAGACAGAGAGAGACGACGAGGAAAACAAACAAGCATGCAAATGTAAATTATCGTGTCCAGAAAAATTTGAGTTTGCCATGCCTCTATCATATTTGCTGAGTGACAAAAAATACCTTTTATTGACAGTGATAGACAGTTGACAAATATCTATACCAACATAAACATAAAATTTGCAACGTTACAGCACTCAGCATTAACCTGATGTTGACAATGGAGTTCTCCTGTAGCCTTATTTAGGTCAAAGATAAATATTTCCACTACATTACTGCCCTGGCCTACCTGTAAACCATTCCTTTGCTACTAGTCCACTCGCTCCACTATAAGGTATAGGCTTTCCTGATGCAAAATTAATAGTACAGACAGTAAAGGCAGAGACAGGTAAAGGTCACATTTTTTAGGATCTTAGGATGCCAATAATCAAGACAAGCAAACAGGGGAAAGTTATTACATACGTGTGTATCAATATGTGAAGACCCTAGAGATGTCCCCTACTCGTCTCAATCCAGATGGATGTGGTGCTGGTCCACTGGGAAGACCATACTGTAGTTCCAGCCGTCGTGTGTGCTGACGCGGCAAGTACACTGCAGCCGTAATGCCGGACAGAAGGGGAGTCACACCAACATATGGAAAGAAGTGTAAATGGATGGAGAAGCATATTTTACTATAAAGCTACGTCTCTAATCTCGGCGAAAGCCGAGTACAAATCTGCATGAAGTTTTAACATCTACTCTCGTGTAATGGAAATCATGTGCAAAATAACTTTTAACTAGATTAGTTAAAGATAGTGTTTCAGTTGTCTTTGAGGTCAATTAAAACACATACTTACTGTACAAAGGCAAAGACGCTGTGCAAAATGGGCCTGGGCTCTGAAAAGAGCCTTTGGGGTGTATGTAGCTCCTGTTGAGAAAAAGACGAAACATGAAAAGGAGTCAAATATATTGCAAATGCCTTTGTGAATTAATGTGCACTCAATTTATCTTTATTGACTAAAACAGTATGTTAAGAAAATGGCAATTCAGAACTGTAGGATGACTTCTAGATCAATCACTCACTGAAAAAAACAGAAAAGACCATTCTATTTTGTTTAACAAAGGTTAAGGCTCTATTTTTATGAATAGCTGTGTGTCTTCACTTACTATCACTTTACTATAACCACTTCTTTGTATGACTGTCTAGTGGCATGCGCGCTTGTACTAAACTAGGTCTTTGATTGACAGGTCTACTTTTCACGGTAAACGCACAACAAAAGAGCTGCTTTAATTTTAAGCATATGTCACTTAAACAAAATAATTAAAAATCCCTTGAGTGTAAGGGGTTAATATTATAAATGGACAGATGTATGATTGTTTGGAAAAAAGTCAGTCCATAGTTTTATGACCGTTTATTAGTTTAGCCTGGTTGTTTTAGGTTATCCTCAGACTGACGAAAAACGAGTTCCCCTCATGTCTAAAAATACATAGGCTACTGTCAAAAATAACTAATTGAAAATATTTAATGCGAGAACATAAAACAGTCAGTTAATAATTACTAAAGTCAACAGTTAGAAAATAACTGTTGATCCTCCGCCGCCAATCTCTGTCATCCGTATCGTAAACATTTCTCAGAAAACTCGACGTTTTCTAACAAAATTATATTTTTCAATGAAAAAATAAGTACATAAAACAAAATAAACACTTACTGGCCTGAACACGGTGTGTTTGAAAAGGATAAACATACTCACAGAGTCCGTTGCTGTAGACTTAGCTGTAGGCTGTAGTGTAGACGATGCTGAGATCACTCACGCGCATAGCGCACCGTCATAAAAACGTGTGCACGCGCGTGAAGGTCTTGATGTGGACCAACGGTTGCGCAGATATTATTTATTTAAAAAAATAGAAGCGGGATCGGCAAAATGGTTCATCACGGTTCCTCCACCGATCTCCGGAGTTGTGCATGCAAGTGGCTATTCATCCCGCGGCCCGCCGATGGTTTACCCACCAAAGTTTTTTGTTGTGCAGGGGAAAATCCCCTCCCGATACTTTGCCGCTGGTGCCCTCCAATTGCCAACGTCGGCAAGACGTTCAGTGCTATCTGGGTTAGCTCAACACACACACACACACACAAAGTTCTATTTATATTCATCTTTTATTTGTATGGTAATGTTAACTGATGTAATAAGTGTACGTGTAACATAAAAACAATTACAAACATTTGTATGCATATTTACATTGTATATTTATGAAAGTAACAAGCTACATCTGTATACTGAAAATACAACTATGACATGAGTTACTGCACTATAAATATTACATCATATATTTAGTATTTTCAAACCATAATAGAAGTAGCTATAGGTGTAGCTGGGCGAACCGGAGCGTTAGGAGAGAGGGATGAGGCACTTCTGCGGAGGGGAAGAAAACTACAGTTCACAGAATAAACCACTGAAACACTGAAGAGTTCAAGAGAACGACACCATCTCGCCTACGGTAGGTTATGCATTCCGGAGATATATTTCCATGAAGAGAAAAGAACAACACGAATAAAAACAATAGCAGCACGTGATTAAACTGGTAGTCATAAAATCGCGACGGTTGCGTGACGTCACACGAGGAAAGCGTTGCATATCCGCGAGATCGTGGAGACCGCCCGCCGCCTCAGGGTTAAATACTACAACTAGATCGTGTTTAACAGTCATCCGCAGAGGAACGAGACTTGCGACGCAGTTAGTGATTGTTTCTAGCAGCTTCATAAGACGAGCTTCACAAACCTTCCATCTTTCGGCGATACAAAACTAGAGACAATCTCGATTAAAATCTCGGACGTCATTTATCATCATCATCTCCACTACTTTTCAATGTGAAACAGTATTAACAGGTGATCTATGTACATAATGCTGTCAAATCAAACCACGACACGTACCGTCAGCAGCGATCACGAATGCAGGAATAGTGTTCGGTATTTACAGCGGGTCGTCATGGAAACGCGCGTTCGCGTTACCGTTGCTAGGGGAAACTTCGCGGGCGAAATCCTGTCAATCCAATCAGAATTCCGCGTGCTTTGTGAGGGACAAAAAAAATGTGCGTTCAAGTCATGTCATAAAGATCTTATTTATTTATGAACTTTTTTATTTATTTATGTCGTGAACACCTGTGGGAAGCTCGGGATTTTCTTTAACACACGATCTTTACGAATTGTGGGCGTGTCAGTTAGCGAAAACATGGCGAATACCACAATACTTAAGGTATTTAGCTGTGATATAGTCATTCTATTTACAGCGAAGTAAGCTAACTGCCTGCACAGATTATGATTGCATTATAATATACAATATAATATACGATAACATTTGCAGTGGCTTCATACCGGTAAATTAAAAATATAAAAAAAGCAAAGCACATTTCTTTGTTCTTCATTTTCTAGAACTAGGACCTTGCTGTATTTTTGTGTAATTAATTAAGAGAAGGTACACCGCCATCTTACTCCGACGGAAGTGACAGTCATAAACACGACTTGTTCCCACCTCGTAAATACGAACTTCCCAAGAGGACTTGAACGCACAAAGTTATCAGACCAACAGAAAGCTGATTTTAAAGTGACTTCTGTGCAAGCGGTGCTTCATACACTAGTGACAATAGACAGGTTTTCCGCGCAAAGTTTCCCTGAACGAAGGCTAACGCGAGGAACGGGACTGTGTGTGCAGAGGTCAGAGATTCTCATGGAAATACTTGCATAGAAAGTTAACCGTGACGGGATTTCACCCACAACACGTTTCAAATACATGTGTCAACTAACACATCATCTTTGCACAAAAAAAAAACATCTGGTTATTAGTCAAAACAAGGTTGATTTTAAAAACAGAAAACACTTTTTAAACATGCATGTAAAATATAAACACTTGTATTCCACAGTAAGAATAAACGTCCGTTTTCTGTGGCTCTCCAGGGTTTTAAACCGTCAGCGGTTAAAAGTCTCGAACAGGAGCAGGATTATAAGTGCCTGTTGGATTAATGATTGACAGAATCAAAAGAAAACATCTGGAATATATTCTACAGCCGCGTGAAACAAGAGTCTTAGCGACCGCTGTCGTTAATGCTAACAACATGTTTAGCGCATCTGCGCATTAGCGCGCGGTTAATAACTCACGGAAAAGCCAAGTGTTAGAACCACTGTACAAGTACACAATATCATTTCTTCATAGTTGCACGCGATGTGTTAGCGTGTTCTCCGTGTCCGTGCGGCGAGGACGCTCCTGCCGCCGCTAACGCCTGCGGTCGACGCTCTCTCCACAGGATTGAGTCGTGCTACGCCCGTCGAGGGCCGGTGTAAATCCACGGGCTCGTCCCGCTCAGCCGGCGGCCTTGTGCTTCCCGCCGCAGCATCGACAGGCCTCTCCGCAGCGGTGGCAGGCTAGCAGAGGCGGGTAGCAGCACATGCAGGGCGCTAGCACCGCCAGTCCCAGCAGCGCTAGCCAGCGCAGGCAGAAGTGCGGGTCGCTGGTGTCGCAGGAGCAGGGGTCGGAGAAGTCGCCCTCGGCGTCGGACATGCAGTGGTAGAGCATGCTCTCGGCACACAGCATGCAGCTCACCCTGTGGATGCACTGGCGTATGGGGTCCGGCGCGTCCTGGCACTGCCCGCGCCGGTTGTCCTCGTGGTTGAACACCTCGCGGCAGTAGATGCAGCGCGAGCGCTCTCCGTCCTCGCGCCGACGGCGGGACGCTTTAGTCGCGGGCTGCTGGGTCTTCACCGCGAGCTTGAGCCGCTCCGGGGCCTCGGCGTACGGGTACGGGATCTTCTCGTCGGGGGCCTCGCGCTCCGGGTCACGCTTCCACAGATCCGGGTGCCGGTAGTCCTCGTAGCCGCGGATCAGCACATCCTTGCGCGGGTTGATGCGCACGATCTCCTCCTCGTCCATGTGGAAGCTCACGTGACGTCTGGGGTTGAAGGAGACCTGAGAGAGACACACACACAGTTCGTATTTCTGCACTTCTGATGGGTTTTTGTGAGTGTGTGAGAGTGTGTGTACCTGTGGAGGCAGGAACCGCTGGTTAGCAGTGAGCGTCTGGTCGAAGGGCTGCACTCGCACATAAGAGCCGCGGAAGTGTTCAGTGGACCCGATGGCTCGAGGACAGAAGACGTCTCTCACCGGCGTCTCCACACACACACTCTCCTGTCAATCACAGCACACACACACACAGTGACGCCCCAGATTACAGAAGCTCTTACACCTGCAGCTTTGATGAGCTCTTGTCAATCGAACACATGGAATATCTGGGTCATTCCTACAGAAGGTGGATTTTATGTCCCCATGAATGAATACTGCATATTTGACATGAAATATTAATCAACTTTAATGTCACATGGCCCATCCAGACACCTATATGCTTACCTTGGCGAAAGCCATGTATAAATTATCATGAGGTTTAACATCTACTCTCATGTAATGGGAATAATAACAGGTCTCCTATTTAACACAGATTTATAATATTTGTTACCTTAGAATAATGAAAACTTTTTAAAACACTTTGACAGGCAAATTCCCACAGTCACGTTTCTCAACTTCACTTTCAAGTAAAGGGCCAATCATGAATGATTTGTTCATTTTTAATAAATCTTTTAAATGACTCTGGAATATTGAGTTCTTACATTTTGTACATGCGCATTTGCGTGGCATCCTTTCGTTTCATAAACATCATCTTAACAAAACATGTTTATTACACACGTCTGACGTTCACACCGGTGAAGCATTACTGCGTCACGCATCAGAACACAGAGGTCATGTGACCCACGCGTGTGAAAGCAGCAGCTCAGACGGCCGACGCATCATAAGAAACAGAAAGAAGAAATGTCACACTGATAATGCCGTGTGTGTGAGTCACATGAGTGAGGAGTGTGTGTACAGGTCTGTTTATATCTGCTCCAGTAATGAACATCCTGTGGTTGCTAAGAGACACTTCCTGTGAATACAGTCTCCTGTCAGTACTTCCCACACACTCACACACACATTTATCAAATGTTTATTATGTTGATATTATGCTCTTTGTTGAATGGTAATTCCCTGTGTGTGTGTGTGAGCCTCACCAGTGATGAAGCGTCCTCGGGTGTGTCCGTGTCGCTGTTCTGCGGGCCGCCTGCAGGTAACACACACACAATCAATTCACAAAGGACCAGCGTTAGTTACACAAGCATTTCTAGCACTGAACATCACTGAGACACACACACAACAGCGGCTCATTAAGGCCCTTGAGCACGATAATAACTGACAATATTTGGTATTTTTAAATGATGGGCTTCTGCTGGTAAGTTTTTCTGTTGGGCCAATAAGTGTCATAGGCCGGACTTTTATTTTGACAGTGCTGAAAAACCAGAGCAGCAGCACATGAGCTCTTTATTTCATTTCATACTTGTATGAATGACGCTCCCAAGTTGGCGACGGCCGGCTCCGCCCACTTTAGGGCTTTAAAAATGCTCTTCAGAAACACTACGGGTGATGTCAAGGACACTACGGCCATATTTATTTACAGTCCATGATGAAAACGCATTTCAGAAATGAGATACTATATCACAAACATTTAACATTTTAGGGGCCTCTGTGAGCAATGAGAGTGAACACAGACGTCACAGTGCTGATGGACACAGAAGATTCTTGATTTATTAGCACACAGTAACGCTGTTCTGTCGATTTTTGCTGCCTTGCCGATAAATGCTACCGTAGCGCGAATTGATCACAGAAAGCCGATTAAAGTCGTATGAAATACAATTATAATACAATTCTAAGTTATGAGTAGCTACTGTATACTGTAGACTACTGTTTTTATTTTTAAAACGGTGTGAAAAGTAAAAATTATCATAAAATAATTATCATCTTTGACTTGTCAAAGTACATCTTTCCTCATAGTAACTGAAACTATCAGTTATTCTGTTTCAGCTGGCTGACCGTACAAATATTCATATGGTAGTAAGCATTTTTAAACGGAAATTATACATTATAACTGGAAAATGTACCTTTTATATAAAAAAAAAAAACTGTGAGTCTGCACATGCGCATAACCGATAAGTAGCAAATCTCAATGGGTAGCATGAATCGTCAGAACAGCACTAAACACTCACCTTGTTTAATGTCCTCCATGGCCCGCCGTATCCCTCGGTCGAAGGCCCTGGCGTCCGCGGGGCTCTGGAAGGTTAGTCCAAACTTCATGTTGCCGATCCTCCAGTGGTGGAAGATGGGATTGACTTTATTATACACCAGATCCCTCCGGATGCAGCAGTCCAGCAGCACCTGAGGACCAGATGAAGCTCTCCGTTACACGAGATCAGACCCGCGTCTGTGCAGACAGCAGCTCGCTGAGGCACTCAAACACTGCAGAACTACAACTTATACTAAACCCCCCAAAAATAATCATTATTTCAAATAAATGTTTAAGTCAAATATTTTTAAAAACAAGACCAAGGCTATGGAAGCTTGTTTTCGCCACAGAATATAAAGTTTTAAGAGATAATTGCAACTTTTTAACTCAGAATTTTGACTTTATTTCTCAGAATTATATGATATAAAGTCGCAATTTTGTTATAAAGTCACAATTCTGACTTTTTCCCCTCAGAATTGAAGATTAAAAGACTCAATTACCTTTTTTTATTTATTTATTCAGTGAAACAAGCTTCCATACAAGCCAGCATTTCTTATTTAGTTTGATGTACAAAAACTAAAACTTAAATAAAACTAGATAAAACAAACAAACAAAAAATGTCAATTCTTACACAAAACTACTAAAACAACTTCAAAAAATAAATAAATAAAACTGTAAATATACAAAAAAAAACCCTTCGAAATATTAATAAAGGTGTTATTAAATAGCTAACGCTTCAGTCAGGATTATTTAATTAAAACTAAACCTATAAAAACATTGGAAATTAAATAAACATTAAAGGAGAGAAAAGATTATATCTTTTCTGCAGGGCAACATAGTTTTTTTTTTAGTTTAACTTGATGTGCTAAAATAATATCATTATAAAATATAATTTAAATATTTAAAATATATATTTTTAGTTTTACTGAAATAAACAGAAAACATGAAAATTAAACTACTTCAAAATATGAATAAAAATTAAATGTTTGCTATTGCACAGTTTGGTGGAGTGAAAACAAGCAGCGTGTCAGGCTGTTCACTGATGACATCAGCAGCGCCGAACATGCACTTCCTGTGAGAGTGATGATGTCACGGTTACCGATTTGTCCTTGAGCCGCTCCCCGTGGATGAGGAACTGGTCTTCGGCCTCGGCTCGGCTGATCTTGAGTACGGAGACGAGGCTGAGGCCGCCGGCGCCCTGAGGAAGCCATCCGCCACTGGAGTCATCTCGAGTCATGACCACCGCTCTCACACGCGCAAAACTCTCACTGCGGGACAAGAGCACACACACACGTCAGACACACGTCACTTCCAGCACATCTACAATCACGGACCGTTCTGTGCCGGTAATGACACTTGAGGCCAGACTGAAACGCATTAGCCGACGTGTTTGTCTGGCTAAGAGTCTGACAGCATTACAGCTTCAGTGGAAAAGACACGCAATAATATCCCGATCGTATTCAAAACCAACAAGAGTCGTAAAATTAACTCAAACGGTGAAGTCACAGATCACAAAATTCACAGTTCAGATCATTTACGGCTTTTGAGTCACAGATTGGATAATCTTTTCAGATCAGCCAAAAATAAAAATAATAGGGCTGTCAAATGATTAATCATGATTCATCACATCCAAAATAAAAGTTTTTGTTTACATGATATATGTGGGTGCACTGCATATGATTATTTTATATTCATATAAATACACACACATGCTTATTTAATAAATATTTTCACTTATATGCTGTATATAGATTTATATTCACTGATCAACCAGCGTTCATTAGCAGAATGCTAGCATGTTTTGGACAACAACTCAACCTGTAGGAAATTGAAAGGACATAAGTACTCGTTCATTCAACTTTGGACCTATAACCCATATTGAACTTGCAAAACCTACAATAAAATCTGAGATTTCACAGCGGCAATCGGGCGAGAGAGACGCATTTAGCCGTCTAGCCCCATAGACTCCCATTCACTCATGTGTGATCGCCCCCAGTGGAACTCTAGTGGAACTACAACCACAATTCGGTCCAATAGCACTCAACAGGGAGTGGCCAGGCTCTCCATAGACGGCTCTGTCCATAGGGAGATATTGTGTAGATACTGTCCAGGGAGATATTGTGTACATCAGGCTATAGATTTTGCTAACGCATTATCCGTTTTGCTGTCATGCTTTGGCTAGCTTTACATTATGACCCCGCTCTTATTTATGCGAATGCTTTTAAACCATTATAGACAAAAGAGCATGCAAATATCTGTAAATGTCCCGTTTATGTGACACTGGCGTGTGTGTGTGTGTGTGTGTGTTTGTGTGTGTGTGTGTCGTGCACACAGACAGCGCTCCAGAATACAGTTCTCTTTAACGCTTGAAGAAACGATAACACACACAATAGCGATGCTCGTGTTCGGCAGCGGCTGCTCTTAAAGGGACGGCGTCTCAGCTCGTCACTAAAGAACGCTTGCAGCTATAATAAGAATTCATCTATTTTTAACTTATCATTTATGCAGTGCAGATTGTATAACTTTAATCACAGGTAAATATGACATTTATTATGGGTTTATATGAGGATTGTTTGAATTTCACTTAAATTATTTTTTAAGCCTAAAAAAATGTAAAATAAATAAATAAATAAATAAAAATTGACAGCTTTTAATAACACTGTAATGTTGAATGTTTATAAGTAATGTTTAAAATAAGGGGGTATTGTTCATCCAGACATCAATAGCTGTCTTAGTATCAGTGATACGGACATTCATTCATAAATGTCTCTACCTTAATTTGGAAATTAATGATAAAATTATGAGATCAAATATAGTTTGTAATAAATGTATGTTTTAATTAGGATTAATAACAGAACAAATGTGTGATTAATCAAGATTATTTTTTAATCGATTGACTTCACTAATTGTAACAGTGTTGTTCTATAAAACCACACGATTACTTGCTTTTAAAGGGCACCTATTATGGAAAATTCACTTTTACATGGTGTTTGAACATAAATGTGTGTCGACTCGGCAGTGTGTGAGCAAAACCACCCTAGAATGATAAAAATCCACTCAGTGTTTTTTTTACAATCTCGATAAATCATGTGCACTGTCTCAGAACAGCTCTTTGTGACGTAGAATTGAGCAAGGGGTTTGATTGACAGTGTGGCTGTGGCCTAGACCCCGCCCTCTGTGATCTGTACACATCATCCTCCATTGTTTCAACGACAGCCGGTAATGTCTCTTGGAAACATAAGTGTTCTGTCATGGGATGTAATAATGAAATATATAGTAGTTTTTACTTATTTCCAACATCAGAGCCACAGAAAACACAGTGGATGTATTGTATTTTGGAAGTTTAAGTGGCGCCTTTCCTTCGTAAATAAGTTTATGTTTGAGCGAATCATTTTCTGACTGACTGCTTTGTGAACGAGAGTCAATTGAAAGCAGGTCTTGCTTCAAAGTTAATCCTCAAGTGTGGATCGTCTGTTTGTACTGTTTGCGATCCAAAAATTGTATGATTTTTGAGCAAATAGTCTTTTCAGTCAATGTCAGCCAATTCAACAACAAATGCGTCTAAAGTTGCTGTCGTCGTAGGATGTCTGTGTATATAATTTAAACATTGTTTGTATAGTGTGTAACCACACATTTATAAATATATATATTTTTAAAGATATTGTATTAAAAACTGCATATATGTTGTTGTTTTGTAAGTTAGCCATCTTCTCACATTTGCCACAGAAGCACCCGTATGACAAGTAAACATGACGCCACAGGTCCCTCGCATAAAAGTAATTTCGCTTGTACTTAGCAAACTTTATCACAGTATGTGTTTGTAGTTTCAAAAAATTGTGCCAACGTTAGTGTTTGTGTGTGTCTGTGTGTGTGTTTTGCACATCCATAATTGCAAAGGGGACGCGATTACAACCCTATAGTACATAAATGTATCAAATAACCATACCGAGACGTCCTGGTCCATTCTCATTTGTGTTTATTCTGCCGGAGTCTCTTCGTCATCTGGGTCTGATCAGAGACTATTTATATATTCCGATTCAAACATGTAAGGCTGAATGACATTCAAAACAGCGGCTCTCTCACTCTCTCAGCCCTTCTGCTTACACAGCTATCAAGTGACGCCCTCATCCAAAGGCAGCTCATTTGCATTTAAGGTGGTATACACCAAAACAGCTCATTTTTAAACAGGCCCCAAAAATGACATTTTCAAATGGTTATAATAAATTAACTATGTGGTATTTTAAGCTGAAACTTAACTAATACATTATGGGGACACCCAAGACCAATATTACATCTAGTAAAAAGGGGCATAAGGTGCCCTTTAAAACTTAGTTAGAACCAATTATCATTGTATTCTTAAAGAGCCCCTATCATGGATTTGTGAAAATGACTGTTCATATAGTGTAGAATATAGCTCTAAGGGAATGAAAACATCCTGCAAACATTTATATCTGAAAGTGCACCGTATAAAAAAGTTATTGTCTTTCAAAAGTGAGAGTCGACTCTGAGTTTATGAAATGAATTGTTTTTGAAACGAGTCATTAGCTGGTTTGTAGTGACGTAGCGACATATTGGCTGCGCCCAGTTACTGCGCACGCAGACGGAAGTGTAAACTTGAAGTCTACACATTCAAATACTTCATCATCGCATCATGTGGAGAAGACGCTGTGTTCTACAATGCAAATATAGTTCAGCCACTTCGTTTTCATTTACCAGGGACGAGCATGTGAAGAATCGGTGGTTAGAGTTCATATTTGCAGCGATACCACAACAGTATAGCCCGATTGTGTTCTCATCATTTTATTGACGAATCGTTCAAAAACATAAATGAATTCAAATGTGGATTCGCAAGCGGTTGTTCCTGAAGGAGGGCTCAGTAACTTACTTACCCAGTATATATGGATCAGCTTCCTCCTTCGAATCACAACCTGTAAGTATTATTAATAATTGTTGCTTTTATGGGTTGGAACGGTTTTGTAGCGTCAGGCGCGAGGAGGTAAGGCGCAATAAGTGTGTGTGTGTGTGTGTGTGTAAGTTACGAACAGCGCAGCTTCTAGGTCTCCAATGTCAATTTTTTTTAAATATGTGAACTGTTTGTCGCTGTTATTGGAGTTGTCATAAAGAATAGAGCGTCTTGTAGTACTGCAGTGCTTTATCAATATGTTTATGCGTTATGCTAACAAACAATAAACTGACTGGGTCATCTGACCAATCACCGCCGATTAGCATCACGCAAAGGAGTGGTTTGGAAAAATGAGTCGTTGTACGAATCATTTGGGAGTCGGTGAGCAAATCAGTTAAAAATAAATGCATATTATAAGTGTTTTTTATCCTTGCATGCATGTTAAACTGTTTTTGGGAACTCCTAAAACAAAAATAGGAACATTTCAAATGCTATGATAGGGGCTCTTTAATTTCTTAATGTATTTTAAGTTTAAAGTTAAAATAAACAACACAACTCTCCTACAGCATTTATTTGTCTTATTATACATTTACTAATACACATTTTTTTTAAATCTAAAGTTATATAATATTAATGCACAAACATAAACAAACAATGAAGAACATTTTTCTTAACATAAAAGTTCCTATAAAAATATTATTGTTAGCTCATATTAACTAATGCATTAACTATGTTAACAGATGTTTTTTTATATTTTGATGGATGTTTATGATTCACCTTGGATCAAATGTTGTAATGAAATAAATTGAGTTCACTGAATGTCCATCACACAATCTTAGGCAAAATATGTCCAGACCTGGTTAATCAGATGGCCGATAATAATAATCATGATCAGGCCTGAATATATGATCATGAACATGAAGATGAAATGGCAAAACTAATGCAGTGACGAAAAGCAAAACGTGGGATCTGTCACACTGGGGGGAAACATGTATAGAATAGATTATACACTATTAAGGAAACCAGCATTCCTCTACAATCATGTGACAGGTCATGTGACACTGCGTGAATACTGGCAAAGTGGACTGAAGATATGACAAAAACAAAATGTGTTTCGTAAACATTAATTTCTTAAATATGATTAATAGAAAATGCGTCTACAATCAAAAGAGTAAGACAAGTAGATTTAAAATGTCCACTAGCGTTTGGTGGCATGGCATTACTTTCAATACGTTCTAAAAACTGCCATCAGACGTGTGTGAGTGTGTGTGTGTGTGTGTGAATGGGCACGCGGGTTCTTTATGAATGGAGGCGGGTCACGTGATCAGGGCAGCCCTGTCTCTCTCGCGCGCTGAGCTTCAGAAGGGAACATCACGAACATTACTCATAAACGCGGAAACGGCGAACACTGAACAGCAGATCAGTCGCAATGCGTCGTTGACAGCTCTCGTGTTTTGGACATTTTTATGAATGAGGTCTGCGATGATTGAGAAAACATGGCGCCCTGCTCTCTGAGGCCGCGTGTCAATCCCACTCGCGCGCCCTGCCCTGTGCGCGCGCGCCACGGGCCTGTCATGCGCGAGCCTGCTGCCTAGATAGGGCACTCACTAGGGTTTGAGACGCGGCCTGACACTGCAGTAAATAACATTAAACACATCACTAACATATAAAGCGTCCAAGATCAACACAGATCAAACGAGCAGCTCTGAAAGACCAAGGAGGAACCTGTACTGAGTTTATCTTCCAATCCATTATAAAACTTTCACATCATATTTATTTCCAAATAGGCCCGAGTGTTTTCATTTGAGACTGAATAACGCAGATTGACACCTTGCCAATAGCTCATGTTGGTCTTAAACTGCCACATCAAAGCTGTGTATTGTTCCAATGGTAATAAATGTGTTACGGGTTTGTAGTGCTCGATATATGATCAAACATCTTGAGTTTAGAAATGAACAATCACATGTCTTTATAATATGGGTCTATGGAGACGAGACATACTCAGCAAAAGAAATAACAGGCATATTCAGCTCCATATTCAGTGTAATGTACGTGTGTGTGTGTGTGTGTGTGTGTGTGTGTGCGTGTGTACACACACTTACTCGTTGTTTGGATTTGATTCTTCGCTCATTTTTTCTCACGGGGATTCAAATCCTGGAAATATCATCGAGTTCGCACTCAAGGCGGGGAAATAAAGTGCAAATATCTCCATTTTCTCCGTGAAACCGCCACGAAAGGCCATTATTGACAGAAAGCGACCCGATCTGCAGTCGATATGCTGCGCGAGACGCCAAAACAGCGGATTCAGATCGGGAATGGTGTGTGAAAGCAATGAAAGCAACACTTCGATCCATCGGCACTATAAATCACATCCTGAGGCGAAACCATCGGAGTCTTCCTCATCCTGGTCGGACAAAAATCCCAAAATCCCAGCGAAAGCGAGTTTGGAAAATCCACAGGACCCGATCATAGACAAGTTCACACGGCAGTATTTCAGCAATGAAACGAAGCCCTGTGTAATGTACGCTTCCTCGACGCACAGGGGGAGGCTGGAGCTGGACGACAGTCTCGCTTCGGAACAGAAAGTGACACAGGAACGTGCAGAATGACTGCGATTCTTCGTGGGAACTTTGAGGATCTGCTTTACGCGAACTCCATTTTCAGCGCAGGCGAATCACATAGGAAAACTGGGCGGAAGAGCGGACGCGGCCTGCGCGCAACACAGATCCCTCCGCCGCACATTCCTGATCCCGCTCCTGACGTGCGAGCTCAGATGATTGACAGCGCGTTCTTGACATGATCCACTGAGTGATGTTGCACACCTGACCGACGTCATCTGAGGAAAGTCCGTTTTAAAAGCCACTTTGATACACCAAACATCATTAGAGTCACCATGAAATCCAAATGAACCATTATTTTATTTTATTTATTTTATGGAATATTGCAGCATTTATTAGACATGATTCATTGGTGCACATTAGCACCAGCTCAGTGTCTGTATTATTTTATTTCTTCCGTAAAATTACAATGTAAAAACACAATTTCCTTAAATGTACAAAAAATTCTGGGAATGTTCCTAAACCATGTTTGTAATGTTTGATTTGTTTGTTGAATCATGTTTTTTAGGTTTGCAGAACGATCCCTTAACGTTATATTAAACTCTTTTAATCAATTTATTTTACATTCTCCCGCGTCCCATGGTAGAAGTGGCATTCATTTTATTCACAGACATTAAAAAATTAATAGCAATAATGTGACTAACTGATAACATTACATTCATTTCTTACCACTAACGTGTTCTCTTCAATTAGATGTGTCAAATCTCTCTGAAATCACACGATATAAGCAATTATTCAGCAAAGAGGTCGATAAACTGCTTGTTTTGACAGATTGAGCAGTTTTTTTGTGAACTGACCCTTTTTAAACCACACTCCTCATGAAAACAGTGTGTTGTCATCTGTGTCAGATTTAACGCTCTCTAGATGTTTATATGTGCATCTCCATAGTACAACATCCTAATGTTTGTGATTCATTGGTGAAATTGCTTCTAGGGCTCATTCTCTGAAAGCAGCCGATCCAAGCAGATCCCATTGAAAAGTATTGTAAAAGAGACAAAACACAAGACTGTGAGGAAATGAAACCTTGCAAATGACATAACTGAAACAACTGTTGACATATTCATATATATATAACTGTGGATATCACCTTTATTTATATAGTGCTTTTTATATGTTTAAATATATTAAATTGATATATATATATATATATATATATATTAAAATGTTTGGCACATGTAATGTTTCAGTATTAGATTGGTGAATCTCTCATCAGGGGTCAGTAGTTATTCACTGGGAATAAAACATTCTTTCTTTTGAAATCCATGAAAGGGAAATTCACCTTCTTTTTGCAGTAACTTTGACAGTCCCTCACGTGACCTTCGGTAACTGAGCCGTTCGTGATGACTGAATATTTCATTATTGACGCTTTCTCAGTTCAGTTTCAGGACTGTGCCGGATGTGTTCTCATTAAAGTGAAGAGGAAGTGGACTCTTGAGACTGGTCAAATGGAAATCCCCAAACCTGCTCACGTGACACGCGCTGCACCACAACATCTGCTGTTGACCAGCTGAAAAATACACTTTATTTCTCCAGCACTTTTGCAAATCATCATTTAACGCTTCTATTGTCTGCGGGTCATTTATGGCCTATATTCGTAAAATAAATAAACGCTATAAATACCAACATTAGTTTTGGCTTTGCGACATTGTCAAGAACAGTTGCACAGTTGCTTTTATAAAATAAATTATACAAATAATATCGCAATTGCGAAGCAACAACCTTTTCAACTATTTACAATCACCCCAGAACCCGACATCACAACATGTTGAGGTGGATCAGTGAGTTTGTTAACCACAGCAAAGAGTGATTTGGGCCTGCATGTGGAATTGCTATTGGTAGTGAGTGAACCGAGGTGAGGTCCGAGTACATGGAACCAGTCTAGCTTTAACAGGACCATGCCTCTTAAGAGTTTGAGACGAAGCTTTGACATTCTGACAAGGAAGAAGCCCTTATTGAGAAAGAAGTTGGATTCACAGAACTGATTTTACGATAAGTCAGCATTTTCTTCAGAGGTGATATAGATACTGGAAAACTACAACTGAAGTTTATGAGTTTGTGATCTGAAAATGCAAAATCAGAGCCACTAACAAGAATATTGTTCAAGCCAGATGTCAACATGTTTCCCATCCGGACTTTACATGTCAGATTCAGCTTTTCACTCCTCAGATGTAGTTCCCTCTCAAGCTCAAAAACATGACAGCAGAAGTCCTGTGGCTCTTTCTTGAACACCTGGAACAGATCTGCATCGTTTTGCAAGGAATGGATTTGTTGTGATTGATGTGCAATGTCCTGCCATGGAGGAGATCTCAACAATTACTGTTGAAATACTAACAAAATGCTAAAAACTGAAAGCTCTATACCTCGATATTTATTATAAGTTCTTGTAACACATGTGTTAAATTATGATATAGGAAATATATGTGTTAGGGAGTCACTCCATATGGAGCTCTAACCCAATAGGAGGGCTCGGCTGAAGGGCACAGGTAATGGCTCTGTTAAGCCTCTGGGGTCTGAGGGGTTTTCTGGGTCCTGGAGGTGTTCTGACATGCTCTGACATTTGAGCTTATTTCTGTTACTTGTGACATTTTCATTGATAAAGTCTTATTACACTGTTTTCAGAACAAACTCTGCTACAGTAATATGTTAGCAGCATGTATGTAAAAGTTTGTACTTATGTTGGGCCATGTGCTCTCGTTATTGTTTGATCCCTCCCCCTTGTTACCTGATTAGTGTTTGAGTTCTTCCACCGGTTCCCTCTTGATTTGTTCCCTCCTCTTGTTTGCAGATCATTGTCGTATGTTTTTCCAGTTTCCGTGTGATGCAAATCTGTGTGCCACAGCAAAGTCCAACCAAAACTCTGCCTTGGCATTATTTGCTCGCTTTAATCACTTTTGCTTTCACTCTTGTGCACTCTTGCTCACTAAAGCTGCGTTTCCACCCCAATTACCAGGAACTATTTGTCCCAGGAACTTCTTCATAGGAACTTGTTCTGCCCCAGGCCGCTTGCTTACTGCGTTTACACCGCGGACTAAAGTACCGGTCCAGGGCGGGAAGATTAATGACGTTGAACTGCGTGCGACTGCTCTTCCCAACCTGCGCGTTTGTTTTGAGTTTTGTATGGAGGATATTCAAGCTTTGCTGCTTTTGTGTGCGATTGGTTTACTAACGAGGTAATTAACAAAACGGCAGAAAAGAGACGAGCACCCAAAGTGTATTCTGAAAGCTCGTAATGCTAGATATAAAAGTAGACGTTTGTTATCAGCGGACATTGACCGTGAGATGAATGGGACGAACGCGCGCCATCGGGCAGAAAGAGTGGTGAGAACCAATTAATCTACAACCTGGTGCCTCAGATACGTCTAGGTTTAGCTTGCATAGTATTTACAGTCATTACGTTCCTGTGGATATTGCGTGAATGACGGTGGTTGGCCAGATGTTGTGTTTTGCGGTAGGTGGTACGGAACCGTTGCCACTGAAACCGCATTAACGCACCAATGGGGCTCGACAGCCTTAGTCAAGAGGATGAGATGAGCGGATGAGGGGATGAGCCGATGGGATGAGGAGATGAGCCGATGGGATGAGCATATTAACGAGTGAGGGGGTGAGCAGATGGGACGAGGAGATGAGCGGATGACGGCTGTCTGTGTGATTGACAGCTGATGTAACAGTAATTCTCTCTGGTTCTGGAGGGATCATAAATGCGATGGAAGTCCCTCAGATGGTAGTCTCGTGTAGCCAGACCTTTAGACTGACGGCTGAAGGTCTGGAATTCATAGCAGCTTTCTTTGGCCAAGGCCCGCCCATAAGGCCGTTTGACCGACACTTTGACCAAACAACCAATTACAGTTCGTTTTGTTCAGCGTCACATTTCGGGGTGTGGAAATATCAGCATAATAAGGGTCCCTACATTCAAACCGAAGCATTGAGAACTTTGTCAGTGTCCATATACAGTTTAATAAGAAGATGTTTTATACACACAGTCAACTTCGCGAATTCAGGAAGAAGCCATCTTGGAAAAATAGTCTCTACCAGTCGATCTACGAGCGCTGATCCAAGTGCGCTGGTGAGATGTGAATACGGTGATAAGGTGAGCGCGAACAGTAGGCTACGTATACATATTGAAGAGAAGAAAACGGTTTGACTGAATATTTCATGTTGAAATGAATATTTTAAATTTTAATATAAATTCATGAATATATTGGTTTGTGTTTCTTCTGGAAACAACGGACCATATGAGATTCTGCACAGTTCAGCGCACTTGGATCGGCGTTCGTCAATCGACTGGTAGAGACTATTTTTCCAAGATGGCTTCTTCCTGTATTCGCGAAGTTGACTGTGTGTATAAAATATCTTCTTATTAAACTGTATGGACACTGGCAAAGTTCTCAACGCTTCGGTTTGAATGTAGAGACCCTTATTATGCTGTCGTGTTACTGTGGGGCTATTTTGAGCCTTTTTAGTGGTAATAACAAGCGATTTTTATTTGTCATTACTCTATGCCCTATATACTAGCATTATACTAGCGTTATAGGCTAAACTGTTTTTAGAGATAAAACTATTTATATTCGGCAAATTTATGAAAACAAAACTCAGATAACGGTTGACTAGGTAACAATGTGTAATTAGACCAAAGGTTCATTTTGCACCGGAGTTGTCCTTTAAATTCGCCCGTGAACTCGCGCTCGTGTCCATCTTATGCCCGCTCTGTCACACGGCCAGTTCAACCTCGTATAAATCAGGTTATGTGTGTCTCCCGCTCATGAGCGCTCACTCTTAACACACACACTGTCCCCGGCACACTGTAACCGAGTCGTCTCATTCAAAACAGACAGCCGTTGCTGTCAGAGAGCCGCCGCACATTGAATGCTCACACGAGCTGCGAATGTAAGTTACGTTCCCGCCCCAGTGCGCTCACGCCTACTAATAAATGCCTCACCTCCGGCGCCGTGCACTCGCTACATTCCCTTTAGCCTTTAGCACATCTAGTGGATGCATAACGCAAACCCAGTCAAACGTTTGACTCTGCAGTATCTTATGCGCCTTATAATCCGGTGCGCCCTATATATGAACCAGCTGCGATGTCAGCGTCTGTTGTTTCATGTTTGTCCACAAACGCGGCTGATATCCCCTTC